CCCTTTCCTATAAGAACAGAGTCATATTGGATGAAGGGCCTGCCCTATTCCAGTACGACCTCAGCTTTTAAATTAGGTCTGCAGTGACCTCTCCAGATAAGGCCACATTCTGAAATACAGGAGGTTTAGGCCTTAAACATGAATTTTGGGGGTAGGCAAAGTTGAAGCCACAAGAGTGTGAGTTGGTATGTGTGACGTGCATGTGTAGAGGGTCTGTGTGACTCTCTGTGGGTGTCTGCATAGAATAGTATGTGTTATGGACTGAATATTTGGGAGTTTTTTTTTTTTTTTGTGTGTGTTTTAAGATTTTATTTATTTGACACAGAGAGAACACAAGCAGGGAGAGTGGCAGAGGGAGAGGGTGAGAGAGACTCTCTGCTGAGCAGGGAGGCCGACGCAGGACTCAATCCCAGGATCCTGAGATCATGATCTGAGCTGAAGGCAGACACCCAACCGACTGAGCTATCCAGGTGCCCCTGGACTGAATATTTGTGTTTCTCCAAAACTCATCATGTTGCAGCCCTAAACTCCAGTGTGGCTGTATTTGGAGATGGGACCTCTAAGGAAGTAATTAAAGTTTAAATAAGGTCATAAGAGTAGGGCCCCGATCTGATAGTGTTAGTGTCCTTATGAGAAGAGCTACCAGGGCGTTTGCTCTGTCTCTTTCCACCCACTGAATGAGCACAGAGGGAAGGTCACGTAAAGATACAGTGAGAAGGTGGCCATCTGCAGCCAGGAAGAGAACTCTAATCAGAAACTGAGTTGGCCCGCACCCCATCCTGGGCTTCCAGCCTCCAGAACTAAGGAAGTAAATGCCTTTTGTTTAATTACCCAATCTATGGTATGTTAATGTTGCAGCTGGAGGTGTGTGTGTGTGTGTGTGTGTGTGTGTGTGTGTGTGAGAGAGAGAGAGAGAGAGAGAGAGAGACAGAGAGAGAGACAGAGAGAGAGAGAGACTCTTTGTAGAGTCTATACATGCATCCTGTGTGCCTTTCATGGAAATCCAGACTATTTCTTCTCTTTCCCTTCCTCCAACCTTACTGACCACTCACTCTCCTCTGCTTACTTTCCTCACCCCCACAATGCCCCCCTCAACCCACACAGAGGGAGCAGAGAGATGACACACCCAAAGGAGGTGTGAAAATCTGGGACAGGCCAGGGCCCCAAGATTCAAGAGGCCTCTCTGCCCTTGGACTGCTTCACTCCCTTCCCAACCCAGTTACCTTGACTGTACTTTACAGACTAACTCAGATCTATAAGGCAAAGCCACAAGCTTCAAAGTTCCTGGGAAATGAGCCCCATCCAAGTTGCAGGGTCTCTTCACAAAGAGATGTTGATTGGGCACCCCCTTAGGCAAGACCACAACTGTGGTAGGATGGATGACCCCAAAGGTTTAGCACATCAAGACAGAGAGGAACCCAGAAACCATCCTATCCTGCTCATTTCTCACTTTTACAGATCTGAAAACTGAGGAAGGGGCAAAAAAGTCTTCTATTGCATCTTAGAACACATATTCCCTGGCTTAATTCAATTCTTACTCTGGTGATTCATTCAGATTTCAAAAAGCATTGGTCTAGGACAGGTGTTGGCAACAGGCCCATCACTTATGTTTGTAAATAAAGTTTTTTAGAACAGAGATGCTATGGTCCACAGAGGCTGAAAATACTACCCTCTGGTTCTTTTCAGAAAAAGTTTGCTGACCTCTGGTCTAGGACTTGGCAGGCGTGGGTTTTCTATCTACTGTGTAGATATGTGGATGAAAGATGCTAAACTATATTCTCTGTTATTATTCCTGATAAGGTGGGCGTGCATCAGCTGAAGATAAGACCTTGAGGTTTTCTTCTTTATGTATTAGTTTAGTAATGTGTCAGTAGAAGCTTGGCCTTCTCAACTCTGTGGTTGTGCTGAGGCGTAGGTTATAAATGAAAGGCAAGATAAATGCTTGATTTCTTTCCCCTGTGCTTAAAACTTTTGTGAGTGGGTTTCTAGAATGTTCCAAAGGTAGCCGGTAATATCTTGTTCTAAATTGATTCAGTAAGTGAAAACCCCCCTTACCTCTTTAGCTAAAAGTCTGCGAGTCTGTGAGCCTAGAATTGTCACTGTCAGTCCCAGACTCCTCAGGACATCTGGTCTGAATAATAATGATAACACAGAAATAGAAATAGGGATGAAAGATACAGAGAGGAAAAGTCTAAATGATATTTGAGCCTGTGGATGCAATTGTCTGAGATACCTCTAGCTCTGTATTTTCCTTAGTTAGGTTATATGACTCAATTTCTTTTTTCCTTTCCTCCTTTCCTTCTTCTTCTTTTTTAAAATGTGATCTCTAGGGGCATCTGGGTGGCTCAGTGGTTGAGCGTCTGCCTTCAGCTAAGGTCATGACTCTGGGGTCCTCGGTTGGAATCCCACATCAGTCTCCCCTCAGGGAGCCTGCTTCTCCCTCTGCCTCTGTCTCTGCCTCTCTCTCTGTGTTTCTCATGAATAAATAAAATCTTTTTTAAAAATAAATAAATCTTTTAAAAAATGTAATCTATAGGGGCCCCTGGTATCTCAGTTGGTTAAGCATCTGACTCTTAGTTTCAGCTCAGGTTGTGATCTTAGAGTCATGAGATTGAGACTCTATGCTCCTTAGGGAGTCTACTTGAGATTCTCTCTCTTTCCCTCTCCATCTGCCCCTCCCCACCCACATGCATGTGTGTGCTTGCTCTCTCTCTCAAATAAATAAATAAATCTTAAAAAAAATGTAATCTCTACAACCAAGGTAGGGCTCGAACTCATGACCCCAGGAACGAGAGTCACATGTTCTATCAGCTAAGCCAGCCAGGCATCCCACCTTTTTCTTTATTGTTTTTGAGTGTTTTCTTTTTTTGTTTGTTTGTTTTTGAGTGTTTTCAAATTAGATTTCTCCTTTTGTTGTTTCCAACCAAGAGTTTGAACTATGCTAATTAATAATGGAAGGCAGTGTAGATGAAATAGAAGTGAGCCTGTTTCATCATATTGAAGAAACATTTTTAAAAAAGATTATTTATTTATTTATTTATTTTTTAATTTATTTATTCATGAGAGACACAGAGAGAGAGAGAGAGAGAGGCAGAGACACAGGCAGAGGGAGAAGCAGGCCCCACGCAGGTAACCCCATGTGGGACTTGATCCCCATCTCCGGGATCACACCCTGGGCCGAAGGTGGCACTAAACTGTTGAGCCACCCGGGCTGCCCCATTGAAGACACATTTTGAGTGAATATGAATGGGTCTTTCAATAAAGGGTACTAGAGTAATTGGTTATCCGAGTGGAAAAATTAGATCCTTACCTCACACCTTAGACAAAAATTAATATCAGATGCATTAAATATGAAAAACAAAATTAAAACAATTTTTAATTTATAACATATAGGAGAGTATATTCATACATAAAGCTAGTCAAGACGTGGAGAAGTCCCTCAACATATAAATTAAAAGATGAATTACTTTGAGTAGCTAGCAGTAAGAGATACAGAAGGAATGAAAACATGTCATAGGCTTCTAAGAGATGTTTGCAGTGTACAGATTATGAAGGGAAGGTGCACCTGCTATTTGTATAAAAATCAGAAAGGAAAAGACCAACAGTTCAGCAGAAAAGTGAACAATGGATAGAAATCATCAATTTAAAAAAAAAGAAATCATCAATTTACAGAAAAGAAACCCCAAATGGCCAATATAATATGCCTCACTCATAATCAGAAAATGCAAATTAAAGCAGCAATGAGATATCTTTATATAGGCAGCTTAAAGTGGGTTATGAGTTCATCTATTTTAATCAGCAAAAGTTATCAAGTTTAATATATTTCTGAATTGGCAAGGACGTGGGGAACTGGGAACTTATACATCCCTGGTGGAAGTATAAATAGGTAAAACTACCTTAGTTTTCAGTTTGGCTCTCCTAGTGGTATTAAAAGTGTGGACATCACAGAAGACAGATTTTTACTTCTTACTATGCCACCAATAGATCACACTTATCAACAGGAAAGCAGGTGTAAGATGTCTGTTGTGGTATTTTGCTGATAGCAGAGCCCTGAAAACAGCCCAAACATCTAGCCATTAGGAAAGAAGAAAGAGAAGCTATGGTTTGTGCATACAACCAAGTTCTTTTAAAATTTTTGTTTTATTGAGCTATAACTCATATTCCATAAAATCTATGCTTCTTTTTATTTTTTTATTTTTTATATTTTTTAAATATTTTATTTATTTACTCATGAGAGACACACACAGAGAGAGAGGCAGAGACACAGGCAGAGGGAGAAGCAGGCTCCATGCGGGGAGCCTGACGTGGGACTCGATCCTGAGTCTCCAGGATCATATCCTGGGCCAAAGGCAGCACTAAACCGCTGGGCCACTGGAGCTGCCCTGCTTCTTTTTTTAAAAGATTTTATTTATTTATTCATGAGAGACACACAGAGAGAGGCAGAGACATAGGCAGAGGGAGAAGCAGGCTCACTGCAGGGAGCCTGATGTGGGACGATCCCAGCACTCCAGGATCAGGCCCTGAGCCAAAGGCAGGTGCCCAATTGCTGAGCCACCCAGGCGTCCCAAAATCTATGCTTCTAAAGTGTACAATTCAGTGGGTAATTTTTATTTTTTTAGAAAGATTTTTATTTATTTATTCGAGAGAGAGAGAAAGCATGAGCAAGGGGAGAGGCAGAGAGAGGAGAAAAAGGCTCCTCGCTGAGCAGGGAGCCCAATTTGGGGCTTGATCCCAGGACCCTGAGATCATGACCTGAACTGAAGGCAGATGCTTAACTGACTGAGCCATCTAGGCACCCCTCAGTATATTTTTAAAAGTATATTCACAAGGTTATGCAATCATCACCAGTTTCTTCTTTTTTTTTCTTTTTTTCTTTTTATTGGAGTTCAGTTTGCCAACATATAGCATAACACCCAGTGCTCATCCCATCAAGTGCCCCCCTCAGTACCCGTCACCCAGTCACCCCAACCCCTGCCCACTTCCCCATTCCACTACTGCTTGTTCATTTCCCACAGTTAAGTCATCACCAGTTTCTAATTCCACATTTCCATCATCCCAAAAAGAAACCCCATAGTTGTTCTCCTTTCCCTCAGCCCCTTGGCATGCCTGATTCATGCATAAACTTAATTTTATTACTATGGATTATGAGCTAAGGACACAGTGACCTGGTTTCCATGTGTCCAGTCATCTCCAGCATGTTAACCCATGTTCTCCTTCTCCAGGGGTCTGGCTGTTCTTCCTTCACCTGCCGCACTGCACATTCACAAGATCCTGGGGACTCCTCGGTGGGGCACAGAAGCTGCCTTAGGTGGTGCCTTGGGGTTTAGATCAGCATGGCTCACTCCCTGGGGGGTCTTTCAGTCTTTGAGGAAGAGAGACGGGATTTAGAGCTCAGTTGTCCAATATGGTACCTACAACCCACATATGGCTATTTACATGTAAGCAAATTAAAATTACATTTATTTTAAAGCTCAGGTCCTCAGTCACAGCAGGTACAGTTAGTGTGTGCAATAGTCACGTATAGCCAGGGGCTGTTGTATCAGACAGTGTAGCTGTAGGACACATCCATCATTGTGGTAAGGCCTTCTGGACATGCCATAATACGAATGGCTGTGTCTCAGGAGGATGAAGGTTTTGGCTCTAGTTTTATAATACATACTAATAACTATGATTGGTATTAATAACAATCATTGCACATGTTTGAGAATGAGAACTACCATCCTGTAAGAATTCTATTATTTATGTAATATTATGCTATTTTAAAAACAATTTTATTGAGATATAACTTACATATCATGAAATTCCCCTAATATAGGTATGCGATTTGATGATATTTAGTGAATTTGTAGAATGATGTAGCCCTTGTCACAATAAATTTTAGAACATTTATCACTAAAAATTCCCTTGTGCCTGAGTGCAATGATAACTGTTCTCCCCACTCCAGCCATAGGTGGCTATTGATTTGCTTTTTCTGGAAATTTCACATAAACGGAGCAGTACCATAGGCAGTCTTCTGTATCTGGCTTTTTTTTTTTCACTTAACAAAATGTTTTTGCAGTGCATCTATTCACCACATGTATCTACCACTAGTTTATTTATTTATTTATTTATTTATTTATTTATTTATTTATTTATTTTCTTCCTTTTTTTATTGCTGAATAGAATTCATTGTATGGAGATACCACATCATAATATCATGTTATTATATTATTATTATTAACAATTTGCTAATCCATGTCATTTATCCAACATTTAAAATAGACCAGATTTGTTCATTGATGGTTCATTTGTGTACCTGTGAACTATATGTTTCCATACCTTTAAAAGATATATGTATCTAAGTGAATGCCATGTGCATAAATATTTTTTAAATATGACAGTGAACAATTAGCATCTTTTGCTAATGCCACTTTTTGCTTGCTTTGGCATAAAGAATAAGCCAATGAACCTTTGTGTCCTATGGAAAAATACATAAATGTCACCTGGTAATTGCTCTTAGAGGTAATACTAATTAATGTTGACTCACAAGTAAGCAGTATTTTAAATAGAAAAAAATGATTAATGTACATTGATTAACATTTGTTAATTGTTGCTTTCATGTCATCCATCCAACATTTAAAATTTGCCAGAAATTCCAGCAAACCCTTTATGGTTAGCCCATCACTGGATTCACACAGGCCTTTTCATGGGGGATTTTGATCCCCATTAGATATGGGAAGGAATGAAGAGTCCAAATCACAGGGGTTTTGTGAGTTGTCTCAGATCATACTAGCCATAAATAGCAGCCATGGGGAGTTGGAACCCAGTTACTCTGGAATTCAAAGCACATGTTTCTTTGTTGATTTATTGAGATATATTAACATATGACATTGTATGAGTTTAAGGTGTGCCACATTTTGACTTGATACATTTATATGTTGCAACATGATTACCACAATAGTGTTAGCTAACACCTCCAACCCACCACATAATTATCTCTTTTTTGCAGTAAGAACAATTAAGATCTAGTCTCTAAGCAACTCTGAAGTTTATCGTATGGCAATTGTGAACTATAATCGCGATGCTGTGCATTACATCTCCAGGCCTTACTTATCTACTGGTTGCAAGTCTATACCCTTTGACCAACATCTCCCCAGTTCTCCCACTCGCTGGAAACCACTATTCTACTCTGTTTTTATGAATTTGGTCAAAGCACATGCTTTTTTTTTTTTTTTAAGATTTTATTTATTCATGAGAGACACAGAGATAAAGAGAGAGAGGCAGAGACACAGGCAAAGGGAGAAGCAGGGTCCATGCAGGGAGCCCGATGCGGGACTCGATCCCGGGACTCCAGGATCACGCCCTGGGCCTAAGGGAGGTGCTAAACTGCTGAGCCACTCAGGGATCCCAAAGCACATGTTTTTAGACACAATGTTATTGGCCTCCTGTCAGTTGTATGAGCTGGGGATATACTTGTAACTAGAGTATGGGCTGAACTGGGAGGCAGACAAGGTCAGCATATGGTGATAAGTGACTTTGTGGGGAGAACTCATGAGACACGAATCCTTTCCAGGTTGGATAAATCTGCATGTGAGTAAAAGGGGGAAAAATCAGCTCTCAGATTGCAGGAGTGAGACTTATTTTTTCTATCCCGTTGTTCCCCTGTGGTTTCTTCCCTTACCACTCACCTGCAGCCTCCTCCTTGGGAAATTTGGAATGTCTGGTTCTGAGAGACAGAAACACATTAAAGCATGGGATCTAAAGGCTGGGGAGGAAGGCAGGGCTTTGGAGACTAGAGGCATGGGAATCATAGATGTGCAATCAGGGTCTCTGAGGAAGGGAGAGGCACGAGATACATCAAGTATATCTACCTTTTGGTGGATTCTTCATGTGATGAACCTACAAAACAAAAAAAGAAGGGAGGAATTTATATTTAAAACATTTTTTTTAATTTAAATTCAATTTCCTGACATAAAGTATAATACCCAGTGCTCATCTCATCATGTGCCCTCAGGGAGAAATTTATCTAATAAGAAAATCTTTCATTTCATCCCCCTTCCCTAGCGTTTAAAAACTGTGCTTTCCTAGGGTGCTTGGGTGGCTCAGTTGGTTAAGCTTCTGACAGTTGATCTCAGCTCAGGTCTTGATCTCAGGGTGGTGAGTTCAAGCCCTGCATTGGGCTCCACGTTGGGCTCCATGCTGAGGTCCATGCTGGGCATGGAGCCAACTTAATAAACAAATCAGTCCTTCCCCAAACTTACCATGCTGGGTGCATATGTTGATGAAGAAGATGGAGAGGAAGAGGAGCAAAATGGAAAGGCAGGTGAACGTAGCAGCAAAGATGAATCTGGTGGCTAGTGGGAGAGGAACAGGAAGGAGAATCAGTTTGGTTCCTGAGACACCCTGATCAAGCTTAGCAGACAGGTGCCAAGAACCAGATAACCTGGTTTCCAAAACTTTGCAGCTGCCACCTCTGAGCTGGAACTTCCAATTACTGCGGGAATTTCCTTCACCTCCCTGACCTTTGGTTTCCCTGTTCAAAGTGATGACAAGAACAGTAGCTGCTGGACTGGATGGAGCTGGGGTTAACTGGGTGGGTCCTGGCAGAGAAGGTCTCACACAAGGGAAATCCCCAATAAGTGTTTTAGCCATAGTAATAATTCCTATTATTTATCGTGAGCCGCCCTGTGCTAGGCGCTTCACACATGTTCTTCTCATCCTGACAGAGGCCCATGAGATAGCTTTACTGTTCCATTTCATTCCACCATGAATGAAGTATCCAGAAGTTAAGGGGATGGCCTGGAGTCACACAGCTGGGATGGGCTTTGTGTCCTGGTAAGTGTAACATTTTACCGCCAGCCACAGGTCAGGCTAGCTTTGCGCTGGCCTCTGGGTATGGAAACACCAGAGAACTGAGCTCACAATCTGGGAGATGCACATTTACCCGAATAACTGATGCTGCAGAGGAAGCACTAAGTCCCATCTCAGATGAATGAAAATTCAAACTCTCTCCCAGTCCAAGAGTCATTTGAATGGCATGTATACTCACATATTATTCAGCCATAAAAAAGTAGAAAACATTGCCATCTGCGACAACACAGATGAACACAGAGGGCATTATGTTAAGTGAGACGAGCCAGACAAAGACAAACACTACATGATTAGATTTCACTTATACATGGAATGTGAAACAAAACAAAATTAAAAACTGAACTTATAGAAGCAGAGAGCAGAGTGGTGGTGGCCAGGGGCCAAGGACAGGGGAGGTTGGGAGAGGCTGGTAAAAGGCTACCGGCTTCCAGTGAACCGATGAATTCTGGAGATCTGATGGATGGCATAGTGACAACAGTTGACAACACTGAAATTTGCTATGAGTAGATCTTAAGCATTCTCACACAAAAAACAAAGGCAAATATGCAAAGGGAGGATGTATTCATTAACTTGGTCCTTCTACGGTGTACACGTGCATCAAACTACCACATTGTATGCTTTTGTCAATTCTACCTCCAGAAGGTGTGGTACAAAGGAGAGGGGCGGATGAGAATCCCTAACTTGAAGAGCTGGGTAATGATGGAAGGCACTGGCTTCAAAGCACAGAGCCTGGATCTGACTCATGATGTAGGATAATGAGATTGCAGTGATAACGATTATTCTCTCTCCCGATATCCCACCCACACCTGTTTCCCTCTGTAACAGACTATGCCAGTGCTCCACACTGCTTGCCCAGATCCCTTTGCCATTTTAATGCGCTCTGGATCATGGTTTATTTCACCTTCCAATGCGGACACTTGTTTCTCTTTGTGGGGGACTGCCAGGAAGGACCCAAAATGCCTCGGGATCTATGTATTCCAGGGACATCTCTTTACCATGACTGCCATTTGTGGAAGCATGAATGCCCTAGTTCTGTTGGTCACCAGTTGCCAGGGTGTGTGACCTTCTATGTCTCCTCTACTTTCCCAGCACCATGCAAAAGATGCGGTGAAGGGATGATTGCTCAGTCCTTTACTTCTCAGCCCTCTTTCCCCTGTACCCCCTACAATGTTACATTCACATTAATACTTATTTGAGTCTTCTGGTGGCACTGAATCCAGGAGACCCTCAAAAGCAGCAAACTCTCTGCACATCTCCAGGGACATAAGGAAACAGGATGGGAGCAGCTGTTCCCAGACTAGTAGGACCCTCAATGGGAAGCAGAGAAACATTAGCCTCTGGCTTCTTCCACAGTGACTCACTAGAAAAGAGAAGTAGACTATTACAAGACTTTTCCGCCTTCATACGGCCCCACAACCTGCTGATCTGAGTTCACCCTGAGATGTCCACATTTCCTGGCCAAATTTCATATCACTCTTTACAAACTGCCAGAATAAATTACAAAGTCTCAGGTGTTGATGTAAAGGAATCAGGCTGAGCAGTGGGACACAGCTTGACACGAGGTGTAAATGAAGTCACTGTCACTAGAGAGGAGGCCTGGCCTTGTGTGCACGGATACATCCGGATATGGGCCGGGGACATCATATCTGGGCTGAAAGACTTTATTCCATTCAGAATTGCTGCAGTATAAATTTGAACTCAGAAGGTACATCTTCAGAAATTATATACACACCCACTAGGATGTCTATAATAAAAGAAAAGGGAAATAAGTGTTGGCAAGGACATGGAGATATTGGAACCCGCATGTATTACTGGTGGGAATGTAAAATGTTGGGGCCACATTGGAAAAACAATTTGGCAGTTTCTCAAAAAGTTAAACATAGAGTTACCATATGTCTCAGCAATTCTACTTCTAGGTAGATATCCAAGAAAACTGGAAGCAGGGACTCAAACAGGTACTTGCACACTGATGCTCAGAGCACTATTACTTGCCCTACCTGAAAGGTATGAACACCCTAGATGTTGTCATGGGTATGGGAATGGGGAGAAACTGCTTACAGGGTAGGAGATTTCATTTGGGGGTGATAAAAGTGTTCTGGAATTACACAGTGGTGACAGTTGCATAACCTTGTTATATACTAAATGCCACTGAATTGTACACTTATTTAAAAGGGTAAATTTATGGAATGTGAATTATGGGTCAATAAAAAAGAAAGAAAATAAATAATACAAGAGCTAAAAACATGAATGCACCTCTTCCTCTTCCCTGTCTCACACAGCACTAGACTTCCTGCCTTATTTCAGATACTTCCATGCTCCTTGACTCTGTCAGATTTCAGGTCTCTCCAAGAAAACATTCCTGGTGTGAATTATGTTCATAAAGCTGAAGTAGAAATCATTTCCCAAGTCTGCTAATACTGAATAAAAACATTTTCAAAGGCTATTACTTATTTTGCAAGGACATTTTGGGAGATACCTTTGAAAAGAACTGGTTATGACAGCCTTGAACAATTTTGGCTCTTTGGAGTGGATTACAGGGAGGTTATGAGTTGCAGAAATTAAGGATGAGTAAGCAACTAGATGCCAACTTATGTTATATATTTGGCCATTAAAATCTGGATGAGCTCCCATTTTCATCCAAAGATGCCAAAAGCTCTAAATTTTACAAGCATCTCCCAGGATAGAATCTTAGTCAATTCCTCATTGAAAAGCAACACCAGAGAAAATAACTTAATATTCACCAGTTTTTTAGAACTTTAAAGTTTTAGCAAATCCTTGGTCAGACACATTCCCAAAGCACCTGGGCTCCATGGTTCCCTATTCTGCTGCCCAAACCAGACAACACAATCTCATCCCCATTCTTCACAAAACTCCACCATTGTTTTTCATTATGTAAAATGATAAATGACGCATCTGTAGCTGTTTTACTCATCAGCTTTTCCTGAACCCAGGAGGAGCTTAGCGGTCATCTGCCAGAAAGGTAGTCATTCTCCCAATCACATTGAAAAAGCGGGCATCAAGATTCCTTCTGTGCCTTTTAATCACAGGGGACTGCACTCAAATTATCTTACATTTTTTTGCTGCAGGAGCTCCACGTCCATCGTTGTTATCTAGGAAACAGGATGCAAGAAAAAATAATCACAATGATTGATTGAGTGGAGAACCTTGGACACTTAGGTCCTCATGTTCTTCTTATGGACTTTAGCCCCTCTTTGGGAACTGAAGAATGTCTTTTCTACTCTTGGGATGTTCACTGGGTCCCCAAATCAGGGCCAGAACATCAGATAGCTTTTTAAAAAATATTTTATTTGTTTGTTTGTTTATTTATTTGAGAGGGGAGAGGCAGAGGGAGAGAATTTCAAGCAGACTCCATGCTGAGCAGAGAGCCTGACACCAGGCTTGATCTCATGACCTCGAGATCATTTTTTTAAGATTTATTTATTTATTTATGATAGACAGAGAGAGAGAGAAAGAGAGAGGCAGAGACACAGGAGGAGGGAGAAGCAGGCTCCATGCCAGGGAACCTGACGTGGGACTCGATCCTGGGACCCCAGGATCGCGCCCTGGGCCAAAGGCAGGCGCCAAACCACTGAGCCACCCAGGGATCCCACGACCTCGAGATCATGACCTGATCAAGAGGTCAAATGCTCACCTGACTGAGCCAGCCAGGTGCCCCCACATGACTCTTTTAATACCTCTGGGGTTTGACATTATTTTTAATAACAAAAATATTTATAAATGACCCAGCTAATTTCCCCCCTTCCATTCCTATTCCTTGTCAATCTTCCTGTTCCACCATTTTGCAAATATTTTCTCCCATTTGGTAGGTTGTCTTCTTATCTTACTGTTTCTTTTGCTGTGCAGAAGTTTTTAGCTTGATGCAATCCCACTTATTTATTTTTGCATTTGCTTCTTATGCTTTATGTGTCATCTCAAAAAAAAAAAAGTCATTGCCAAGATCATGCAAAGGAGGTTTTCACCTCTTTTCTTCCAGGAGTCTTATGGCTTGGGGTCCTACATTTAAGTCTTTAATGTATTTTGAGTTAATTTTTGTGAATGGCGTGAGAAAGGGATCCAATTTCATTCTTCTGCATGTGGTTATCCAAATTTTCCAAAATCATTTATTGAAGAGATTGTTCTCTCCCATTGAATATTTTTGGCTTTCCTGCCAAACAGTTGATCATGTATGTGAGGGTTTAATTCTGGGCTCTTGATTCTGTTCCATTGATTATGTGTTTATTTTTATGCCAGTACCATGCTATTTGGATTACTATAGCTTTGTAGTATAGTTTGAAATCAGAATTTGTGACACCCCCCAGCTTTGTTCTTCTTTCTCAGTATTGCTTTGGCTATTCAGGATCTATCAGTTTTTTGGTTGAGTCTTTAGGATTTTCCATATATAAGATTATCTGTAAATAAAGACAGTAGTACTATGTTGAATAGGAGTGGTGAGAGTGGATCTCCTTGTCTTGTTTCTGATCTCAGAGGAAAGCATTTGACTCTTCACCTTTCTTTCTTTCTTTTTTTTTTTTTTTTTGAGAGAGATAGATAGAGATATATATAGAGAGAATGAGCGGGGGAAGGGCAGAGAGAGAGAGAGAGAGAGAGAGAGAGAGGGAGTAGACGACTCTCTGCTGAGCAGGGAGCCCCTTGAGAGGCTTGATCCCAGGACTCTGGGATCATGACCTGAGCTGAAGGCAGACACTTGACTAAGCCACCCAGGTGCCCCTGACCTTTCATCTTTGAGTATGGTGCTAGCTGTGGGCTTGTTGTGTACGTCCTCTGTTATGTTGATGAATTCCTTCCATAGCTTATTTGTGGAGAGTTTTTAATCTTGAAAGGGCATTGTATTTTGTCAAATGCTTTTTCTGCATCTATTGAGATGATAATATGATTTTTGTCTTTCTTTCATTAGTGTGGTTTATCATATTTATTGATTGTGTATGTTGAGCCATCTTTGCACCCCAGGGATAAATCCCATTTATCCATAGCATATGATCTTAATGTGCTGTTGGATTTGGTTGCTAACATTTTGTTGAGGATTTTTGCATCTGTGTTTATCAAGGATATTGCTTTGTAGATTTCTCTTAGTGTCACTATCTGGCCTTGTTATCAGGGTAATGCTGGCCTATGAAACGAGTGTAGGAGTGTTCCCTAGTCTTCAATTTTTTTAAAGTAAGCTTCATGCCCATCGTGGGGCTTGAACTTGTGACCCTGAGATCAAAAGTCACATGATCTACAACTGAGCCAGCCAGGCACCCTCAGGTCTTCAATTTTTTGTGAGGGTTTGAGAAGGATTGGCATTATTCTTTAAATATGTGGTGGAAATCTCCAGTGAAGCCATTTGGTCCTGGGCTTTTCTTCAATAGGAGATTTTTTATTATTGAGGCAATCTCCTTATCTGTTATTGATCTGTTCAGATTTTCTATTTCTTCATGATTCAGTCTTGGTTTATAGACTTCCACACAGATTTTCTTGTCATTGGTGATTGCCCAAGTCTCCAGGTGCTTCCAGACCACGGCCAACAGGGCCTAGAACTAATTTACAGTCTCCTGCAGGTTCCACAGCTGGCACTGAGATCTGTCTGCCTATTACTCAATGCACAGGCGAGTGAGACTCCTCTTACGTCTCTTGCTGTACGGTGCCAGATCCCACACTTTTACAAAGGCACTTTTGTTTGTGGGTGTATGTCAAATTTCTGTTGTTGAAGTGGGGAAGGCAAAAATGAGGGATGTCTTATGGATTTTTCTTATTTTCTCAAATTGTAGTGGTTCTGGAATCCCTGTTTTCAGCAGAGCAAGAGCAATATATTTGCGTCTATTGTATGGAATCAGACATCAGAGTCTCATACTGTGACCCGGAGTCATCTCGGGGTCTATATTGAGTAAGAGGGAAGGTTTTTGGAGGGATTCTGAAGAGGAAAAAGCCACAGGGGTGAAGAGAAGTACCAAGGCTTCCACATTTCCAATGCACCTGGGGTCATTCTTACCCATCTCTATATTAACCACATCTTTTATTTTCTGTATTCAACACTTTGATATCTTGGGACCTTGCTGACCCTAGAGATATCCCCTCTCAAGGTATCTACTTCCTAGAGAAAGGAAACAACTTTCCCTCAAGCACCCTTCTTTTTTTTTAAGTTTTTTTTTTTTCCCAAAGATTTTATTTATTTATTCATGAGAGACACACAGAGAGAGGCAGAGACAAGCAGAGGGAGAAGTGAGCTCCCCAACCATGCAAGGAGCCAGATTCAAGCACCCTTCTTAAGTGCAAAACAACCAATCCAGAGCTCATACTTCCAACCACCTCCTCTATGGCTCTCACACTCTGGGCCAGGGTTCCCCTGCCCTAATCACTCCAGGGCCAGATACCAGACAGTCAGGGACAGCATCTATACCCAATAGCCAATCCTAAGCCTGTTCCTTCTAACAGAAACCACAGTAAAGGCTCTTGCCTAGTCTTATCCCTCCCTCTGCTTCCTCACTGACTCTGATACTTCTCTATATGGCCCTGTATGGCATGGCATACCCCTCTTCTTGGGAAGTCTAACAAACTATCTTTTTTTCAATGACAGTCATCTCTTCATCTTTGACCATACTGTACCTCAAATTTTCTATTGGCATCTATATTCTAAAACACTCTCCCACATCCACCTCATTGATACATACTCATAATCTTTGATGAGAGCCTCTCCCCACACTCACTTCCCATTTCTCCCATACTTTACACCCAAGTGGTCACACCTGTCTTTTTGTTTCCTGGATTCTTCTTTCACCAACCAGGCTCCATCACAAGAAAAGGACTATATGCCTCAAGAATAAACCTGAAGCTGCCTTTCTCACCTTTGACCTGCAGCCACAGGTGTTCACTCTCCTCTGACCACTCCTGGGAGACCATTGTCTTGTAGGCACAAAAGTACATCCCAGCATCCTTCGGCTCCAGGTGAGTGAGGAGGAATTCAGCCTCATGTCCTGTGGATCTCTGCTCCTTCCTGTACCCAGAGTCCTGCAGCTTCCCCAGCATGAATGTCACATTCTGGAAGTGAGACTGGCACCTGAGGCTCACGTTGCCTCTGTGTTCAACCATGTTGCTGGGCAAGGCACTGAGCGTGGGTTTGGGAAACATTTCTGGCAAAGAATTCAGAGTTAGTCTGACTCTTCATCATGACATCCACCAATGCCCTCCTAGAATTCAGAGGATTAAAGAGAAAATATAGGATGCAGGAACAGATAGAGTTTATACGAGAAAACTCACCATTCTTTTTCTCGTCTTCAAAGCCCAGGGAAAGCCCTGGAAGAGAAACCCTTATGAGACATAAATTACATACTCGTGTTTGAGTACATATCAGGCAGAGAGTGCATGACTAATTTGTTAAAGATCCATCTTATTCTTTTTTCTTTTAAAGATTTTATTTATTTATTCATGAAAGACACACACCGAGAGAGGCAGAGACACACAGAGAAGCAGGCTCCATGCAGGGAGCCCGATGCAGGACTTGATCCTGGGACCACAGGATCACACCCCAGGCGGAAGGCAGGCACTTAGCACCTGAGCCACCTAGGTGCTCCATCCATCTTATTTCTTGAAGGCACTTCTTTGGGTTGATTTTTTTAACCTGTTACTTATGTCCCATTGTTTCTCATTTTGTATATTCATTTATATACAAAATTCCAGCAACCTTTTCTGATCTATCATGTTGCTTTCACGATCAGTCTTTCACCATCTAAATATCATCACATATTTACTTGTATTTTCCTCTCCTGCTTTCTATGACTGAACTTTTCACCCTTGTCACTTAGATAATGCAATGGTTATTTATTTTACTGTGGAGTGTGAGCAGAGGGTTTCCTCTCTGATTCAAATGGGGAGAAACCACTCTCTCTGCCCAGGTTCTTCTTTTCAAGAAGAATTTGAGACATTCATGGTCCTAAATGCCTTTTCCATGTGGCTTTGATCTATATAAATGTTAGACCCTACTTCTCCTGTGTTCTGTTCTATGTATTTCATTCTGGAATAGAAAGGTCATCTCATGAATGGAAATATGGGAAACTAGTCTTGGGGTATGTCAAGAGGTGATGTTAGAATTTCTCTAGATGTGAGAGTGTCTCAGGATATCTGGCCTTTCTTTAAACTCAGGAGTAAACTCACAACATGGACCCTCAAACTTCACCAAGAAGGAAGGAGATGGTGGCCTGATGATGCACTGAGTCTGAGCTTGCAGTAATAATGGTGGGAATTTGTAGGAGGAAATCTTCCTCTGGGTGGTCAGGGGGTCGTAGGTCTCATGGTCCCTTTTTATTTTAATTTTTAAAAGATTTTATTTATTTGTTCATGAGAGACAGGAGAGGCAGAGACATAGGCAGAGGGAGAAGCAGGCTCCCTATAGGGAGCCTGATGCAGGACTTGATCCCAGGACCCTGAGATCACCACCTAGGTGTCCCTCATGGTCATTTTTTAGTTCTTTCCTCAGAAACCTGCTTTTAGACTCATGTTGCCTCAGCTCTGGTATTAGCCAATATTCTGCACAGTGATTCTCTTAAAAAAAAAAAAAGCACACAGGTGCCTTGAGTTCATTTTGCATTGTGAAACCCTACTGGAGAATAGGTTGTGAAAGTGAGGGAGGAGTTCTCTTTCTTTGATAAATAAAACTGTATATATTTAAGTTACACAACAGGATATATAGAGAATATGATATATAGAGAAAATGATTACCACGATTAAGCCAGTTAACACACTCATCGGCTCATAGTTACCTCTGTGTGTGTGTGTGTGTGTGTGTGTGTGTGTGATGAGAACATGGAATTATTAACTACAATCTCCATGCCGTGCATTGGATTCCTTAGAACTCATTCCTCTTTCCCAAAAAGGGACCACATTGGATATAGACAAGGAGGGCTAGCTGCACAGAGGAAACTTTAAGGGGAAGGCAGGATAACTTGAAAAAAGCACTTCTCAGGAAAGAAGTACAATAAAAACCCACCAATTGGGGCACCTGGGTGGCTCAGTCAGTTAAGTGTCTGCCTTTGGCTCGGGTCATGATCTCAGGGCTCTGAGACTGAGCCCCGCATTGGGTTCCCTGCTCAGCAAGGAGCCTGCTTCTCCCTCTCACTCTGCCTGTTGCTCCCCCTGCTTGTGCTCTCTAACCCGCTCTCTCTCTCAAATAAATAAATAAAATCTTTAAAAAAAACCCCACCAATTATCAAGAATCTGTCACTTGGCTAACTCTTTACAGACACTGGCCACTTACATGTTTAGTAGATCCTTGGCAGACAGCTGTCATCTGCCCTACAGCTACAATGTTTGCCTGCTCTGCCAGATATCCTACATTTAACATTCAGAACAGTCTCACATGCATCAAACAGAGAGCCGGACAATGTCCAGCCTCATTAGGTGCTAGCACCTTCCACAGAGATAGGAAGGAGTGGGGACACTCGAAACCACAGCTCCCTAAAAACGAATGTGATACTGTGATTTATGATAAGAAATATACATTTGATCTTGTCCTGGTTCCTGGCACACAGCTCCTAAAACCCTTGGAATTTTCTTAACCACGTTTTAAAAGTCTATTTATTTATTTATTTATTTATTTATTTATTTATTTATTTATTTTAGTAGTTTCTACATCCAACATGGGGCTTGAACTCATGTCCCTGAGATGAAGAGTCCCATGCTCTTCTAAGTGACCCAACCGGGCACCCCCCTCTCGGAATTTTTCTAGGCATTGAATGCAATAAAAGTCTTTCATTATGTTAATGAAGTGACATTTGGACCACACTTAAGGATGAGGGCTGGTTGCCAGGGGAACCAACCATATGGTGACAAGGTTGGAACTTTCATTTCCATCTCCTTGACTTTTGGAGAGGGGAGAAAGGCTGAAGATGGAATTAATTGCCAATGGCCAATGGTATAATCAATGGTACCTATGTAATGAAGCCTCTATAAAAGCTCAAAAGGATGGGTTCACAGAGCTTCCAGTTTAGTGAACATATGGAGGCACAGGGAGAGTGGTGTGCCTGGAGAGGACATGGAAGCTCCCTGCCCTTTCCCCATACCTAGCCCTCCACATCTTTTCCATCTGGTTGTTCCTGAGTTATATCCTTTTAGAATATACTGATGATCTAGTAAGTTAAATATTTCTGTGAGTTCTGTGAGCCTCTCTAGCAAATTAATCAAACCCAAAGATGGGGTAATGGGAACTCCTAATATATAGCCAGTTGATCAGGTGACAATACGGACTTGCCATTGGCATCTAAAATGGAGTGGGGGTAGTCTTGTGCGACTGAGCCCTTACCTACAGGATCTGATGGTAACTCCAGGTAAATAGTGTCAGAATTAGTTAAGTTACAGAACACCCAACTGATGTTCAAGAATTGCTTGGTGGTGTCAGGGCCCCACGCTCACACATTGGAATTGGGTGCCAGAACTGGACTTCCAGATTACTGTTAAATTACAATTTAACAAGGGGCGCCTGGGTGGCTCAGTGGTTGAGTGCCTTTTGCTCAGGTTGTGATCCTGGGGTCCTGGGATAAAGTCCTGCATCAGGCTCTCCACAGAAAGTCTGGTGCTCCCTCTGCCTGTGTCTCTGCCTCTCTCTCTCTCTGTCTCTCATGAATAAATAAATAAAATCTTTAAAAAATATTATAATTTAACAGATCTTTTGAGCTCATCATCTGGAGAACTTAAAAATTTTACATAAAATATTAAGATTATATTGTATTATACAAAATATTATCCTATTCTGTTGTAGAAAGAAACATTGCAGTGATACATCATGGATGGACCTTAAAAATATCATTCCAAGAAAAAGAAGCCAGATATGAAAGGTCACATGTTGCATGATTCCATTTTCATGATATACCCAGAATAACTAAATGTAGAGACAGAAAGTAGATTGGTGGCTGCCACGATCTGTGGGAAAGGGGATGGTGAGTGACTGCTTCATAGGTACAGCATTTCCTTTATGGGTGATGAAAACGTTTTATGGTGGTTATACAACACCATGAATGTTTAAAATGCTAATAGATTGTATACTTTACAGTGTTTGCTCTTATGTGAATTGGACCTCAATACAATTTTAAAATCTTATGTGAGTTAGGTATGTTTACCTTCTGTACTAAAGATATATAAAGATTCAAATATTAAAAGTCTACCCAAAATAAGATTAAGTGGAAATGACTAGTTGTATTCGTTTAGGGAAGCAACCTCTGTTAAGTGCAATGGTGGTTCTGGCTTCCAGAGCAGCCTGACCCAGGGATTTAGTGCTGTTAGGGTCTTTTTTCTTAGCTGCCATGTGTCATTCCCTCTGAATGTTGTCAGGACAGGACCAGGAGCCTGGAAGCAGAGCTGTAGGCAGCTAAAGATGGGCATCTCTGGGAGGTTACACTTATAGAGGATCAAAATTTATCTGTATCCCAATACCAGTAGAGAAATTTCTTGATAGAGCTGGACTGGCTTGCTCTGCAACATAGATCCATCCCTGGAATGATGATTATGGCCAGAGGGGAGGGCGATCATATGGGTTGATTTGTGTCCCCAGAAAGATATGTTCAAGTCCTAACCCCAAATACCTGTGAATGTGTGAACTTATTTGGAAATAGTATTATTTCAGAGTAGGCTGGTCCCATAATTCAGGATGGCTGGCATCCCCATTAGAAGTGGAGAGACATAGGGGACCCCTGGGTGGCTCGGTGGTTTAGTGCCTGCCTTAGGCCCAGGGCGTGATCCTGGAGTCCTGGGATCGAGTCCCACATCAGGCTCCCTGCATGGAGCCTGCTTCTCTCTTTGCCTTTGTCTCTGCCTCTCTCTCTCTCTGTGTCTCTCATGAATAAATAAATAAAATCTTAAAAAAATAATTTAGAAGTGGAGAGACGTGGGGACAGACACAGAGGGAAGATGGCCACGTGAAGGCATGAGGGATTGCAGCAAAGTGTTTGCAAACAAGGAACCCAGCCCTGCCAGCTGTCCCCAGAAGTGAGGGGAGCTTGGAATGAATTCTCCCTTGGAGCCTCAGAGCACTCAAGAGGAATTAACTCTGCTGGCACCTTGATCTTGGACCTCTGGCCTCCAGAACTGTGGGAGAGTACATTTATGTTGTGTTAAGCCACTTGGTTTGTGACACTTTGTCACAGCAGCCCTGGAAATGAATACGGGCAGAGTGAGGTGGTCTCTCAACTGCCCAGCTTATTCTGCTCTGTAGCTGGAGAGCTGGAGGTTTGGTGCATAGTGACTGACAGCCACCCCTAAAGCTCAAATGTGTGTGTGGGAGGAGCATTACCCCAAAAGAAGGGCTGTATTGCAGAAGGAGGAAGGAACTAGGGCAAATGACAAGTCCTGATAGCCTCTACACAACCCCTCACCCCCAACTCACGAAAGAAGAACCAGAGTCTTGGTCAGTGGAGCTGCTGGTTCGTAGTCTAGGGCTCCTATGATATCAAGCCAAGGTCATAATCCCAGGTCTTCATTTACAGGCTGAGGTCCCTTTGATTACATCATGTTCAAGTTAAGAACAGTTAAAAACCAATCTGAAGATAAGGCTGGTCAGAAAATTTTCTTTTCATTCATTGTCCCCAGACATAGCCCTTTTCTGTAGTCTTGGTCTGTACCCAAACCTACAGCTCCACACCCTATGTGCCCTGCCCTCCTATATGCCAACAAACACTCATGGCAAGACTGATATTTGGACAAATAAAGTTTGGAGAACTCATGGGAGTTCTGCATTTCTCAGCTGAGTAAACAAGGGTGTCACCCCACGTCTCTGAACCTCACTTCCCCCATCTCTGTGTGCGAGTACCAGAACAGAGGCATGTCATACTACAGCCCACAAAACTCTGACAGGTAGCATGTGTCCAGTACACAGAAGACATCATTTCACATCAACCCCCGCTTCACCGTGAATTTTCTCACCCACCCAAACCCATCTGTCCCAGTCCTGGAGACTCACCAAGGCAAAGCAGGGACAGGAATTCTGTGAGCATAGTGTCCCTTCCACCCAGAACAAGATCCCGTCTTCAGTTTTATTGTTCAAAGGAAGAAGGGGGACTGGGCCATCGAGGCTCCCTCCTGCCCACCTTATCTTCAAGATGTGTGGGTAAAGGTTTTACCCTGACACTTGGTTCTCCACTGCCTGGTGTACAGTTTCCTTTTCACAATCAAGTCAGGAAACCATCAGTGACAACATATCCCTCATAAATCCGGTGTGTATGGCTCCAGCTCCACCCACCCGGAGACCTGTCCTATCTCATTTGAAGTCTTGACCAAGACATTTTCTTTAAAAAAAAGATAATAACTGTTTTTGGAAAAAGTCTTAGAGTTGCAAAAGAATAGTACAGAGTTGCCACATACCCATCAAGCATCTTTCCCTCATGTTAATAGAACTACAGTACATTATCAAAAGCAGAAAATTCACATCAGTGCAATATGATGGCTGGGTGAGTGCAGGTAGCATCTAAAATATAGGAGTCTCGGGCAGCCCAGGTGGCTCAGCGGTTTAGCGCTGCCTTCAGCCCAGGGCGTGATCCTGGAGACCTGGGATGGAGTCCCATGTCGGGCTCCCTGCATAGAAGCAGGCTTCTCCCTCCGCCTGTGTCTTTGCCTCTCTCTCTCCCCTCTCTGTGTTTCTCATGAATAAATAAATAAAATCTTAAAAAAAAAAGGAGTCTCTAGTACAAGCTGAGGACCCACTGCTCCTGAGAGCAGGGTGCTCAACAAGAAAAAAGAAATGGATGTCTGTCTTTGAGGCTGAGTAAGCTTCTCTTTTAGTAAACCTTGACAAATGGGTCACACAACATCAGATTTTTTTTGCTGTGCTTTCTTTTACAGAAGAGAAAGTAATCAAGGAATCTTGATTGTAATCTCTCTTAGAAGAGAAAGTAATCAAGTAATCAAGGAAAGTTTCTATTCAAATTTTTTCTCAAACGGGAAGAGTGTAATCCCATTTTCCAGGAATGAAGGAGGAAATATTGATGAATTAAGGGAACAAATTCCTCTCTAGAAGTACAACAACAATCTTTCCTTCCCAGCTACTCATTGCTCTCTGAGTCATTTAAGAACTCTTGTTGATTAATGATTATTTCATATAACTGAAAACACTAGGGTTGTGATGAGTTCAAGGCATGAGGGGATCCAAATACTGAAATAATGGTACTGGGAATCTGTCTTTCTCCAAGTCTAAGTGCCACTTTCCATTGTGTAGACCTCACTCTCAGGCTGATTTTTTCATGTGCTGGGAAGATATCCACCAGCATCTCTAGGCAGAAATAATGTGCTTGCACTAACACTTGCAAGAAACTCATAAGGCGGACTCAACATTGCTTGATCTTGGTTTACATGTCCATTCCTGAGTTGATTGATGTAGCCAAGGTGATGGATTGCACTAATTGGCCTTTCTGAGACATATGAGCACACCTGTAGCTAGAAAGCTAGATCAGTCTCATTTAACCAGAGAGTAAGTGATAGTTGGCCAATGTCCCAGTCAAGATAGTCATACTAGGATGTACTAGATATGAATATTGGACATGCAAAAAGTAAATACTGTTCACTATGTGTCTTCATCCACCTATGTCAGGCAAGATTTTGTCTCCATCTAAGAACTAATCTATGATTCTTCTTTCTCTTAACCACAAGTCTTTAACCATGAGATTGCTGAAATCATGTGCAGATGCCATAATGTTATAATAACTATACATCAGTTTTCTAGAACTATTTTTTTAAGATTTTATTTATTTATTCATGAGAGACATACACACACACAGAGGCAGAGACACAAGCAGAGGGAGAAGCATGTTCCATGCAAGGAGCCTGACGTGGGACTCGATCCCGGGTCTCCAGGATTAGGCCCTGGGCTGAAGGCAGCGCTAAGCCGCTGAGCCACCTGGGCTGCCCAGTTTTCTAGAACTATTAAATCCCCTGTCTGGAGGTATGAGAGGTGGGAGGAAACATGGTTATCTGCTGATACACAATGTTACAAGGGTTTAAAAATCGTATACTGCATCTCAAAACAGATGCCAGCACTTCAGATACACAATACCCTAGCAGAGGTAACACACAGCTGAGCAAGAAACTGAAAGTAGATTCTCACACATTCTCTGAGAAGGCAAGATAGATCAAGTACCTCAGGTGGGATTAAAATAATTGGAGATATTAGGACTGGAAGGGAAGACAGAGTAAGTGGGGAAAAGCTTCAACTCTGGACCTCTACATGTCTATTAAAGACACTTTGTTTGAAGCTCATATAGGCTCATCACCTTGTGATTCAACCTCAACCTTTTCCTGCAATTATTTTTTAAGCACAACTTTTCAGAAGTTAAGTTTCCAACAGAACACCAATGGGAAGTGAGTCCTGATTTTTATTAAAGTTTGAAATCACTAAGATTCAACCCTAGCTAGTAATAGGAATGTGTGTGAATGCACATTGTGCACACATGCTCTCCATATCTCTCAGATCCACTTATTTATTTTTTAAAAATAAATTTATCTTTTATTGGTGTTCAATTTGCCAACATATAGAATAACACCCAGTGCTCATCCCATCAAGTGCCCCCCTCAGGGCCCGTCACCCAGTCCCCCCCACCCCCCGTCTACCTCCCTTTCTACCCACCCCTAGTTCGTTTTCCAGAGTTAGGAGTCTCTCACGTTCTGTTTCCCTTTCTGATATTTCCCACTCATTTTTTCTCCTTTCCCCTTTATTCCCTTTCACTATTTTTTATATTCCCCAAATGAATGAGACCATATAATGTTTGTCCTTCTCTGATCCACTTATTTCTATCCAGTATTTTCTGCATTAAGATGGGGTAACGTGGCTCCAGTTCACATGTCCTTCATCTTCCCCCTGAGAACAACGTGCTAGCCCTCACATATTCTTTTCATGGAAAATGAAAGATGCATAGGGGCTAAATCAAAATATGCCATGCCCCCTGAAGACCTGGGCTGGAGTTAAAATATTACCACTCGCACCTTATCCTGTTGACCAAAGCAAGTAACATGGCTGAATCTATAGTCAAAGAGCTATTAATGATCTATTGCATTACAACTTCTTGGCCACAGTATTCATATCCATCCCATGAACTAAATATGCTCATTCCCATCCCAGGATCTGCCCCCTCAAATTTCCATCCAATAACGGCCCCAGGTTTTAAATCTAGATCTAGTGATCATTATCAAGTCTATAGGTGGCTCCTTTTGACCCAGGACTCATGAACTAAAAAACAAAGTAGCTGCCCCATACATCTATGATGACAAAAGAGAAGTGTGATAACCACAATACTCTCACTTGAAAAAGTTTCTTCTCTGTGTGTGTAGGAGATGTACAGCAGTTACTGGTTTACAGCAACTTCAAAATCACTCTGGGAAAATGCTGCTAGAAGCCACAATTCTGAGAGTGGAAATGTTCCTTCATAAAGTTTCAGTTCTGTTCTCTATGAGGGGCTTCCCAGCCCACTGTCCTGTGAGGTCTTTTTTTTTTTTTAAGATTTTATTCTTTTTTTTTTAAAGATTTTATTTATTTATTCATGAGAGGCAGAGAGAGAGAGAGAGTGAGAGAGAGAGAGAGAATGGCAGAGACACAGGCAGAGGGAAAAGCAGGTTCCATGCAGGGAGCCCAACATGGGACTCAATCCCGGGATTCCAGGATCATGCCCCGGGCCAAAGGCAGGCACCAAATCGCTGAGCCACCCAGGGATCCCCTGTCCTCTGAGGTCTTGCTTCCTCCCTGTGAGATGTCTTTCATCAGCTTTCTTGTCCACATCTGAAGAGGACCTTGGAGAATATGACCCTGCTGGTTGGATGGCCCAGTTTCTCAGCTTGCTTTCTGTACATAGAAAGTTGAATCTTCAAGTCTTTGTATAATTTCTTTCTTTAAAAAAAAGACTTTATTTACTTATTTGACAGGGAGGCAGGGAGAGTGCAAGCTGCAGGGAGGAGCAGAGAGAGAGAGAGGGAGAAGCAGACTCCCCACTGAGCAGGGAGCCCAATGTGGGGCTCAGTCCCAGGACCCCAGGATCATGACCTGAACTAAAGGCAAACCCTTAACCTACTGAGCCACCCAGGCTCCCCTTTATAATTTCTTTAAGCTCATGCTGGCAGCAATTTTGCCAGCGTAGCTCTCAAAACCATTGTGGCTTTTGGGACATCTGGGTGGCTCAGTTGGTTAAGCCTCGGAATCTTGATTTCGGCTCAAGTCACGACCTCAGGGTTTCTGGAGCAGAATTCAGAGATCTCTTACATACAACACCTAGTGCTCATCACAAGTGCCCTCCTTAATCTCTATCACCCATCCAGCCCATCCTCCACCCCCTTCCCTCCATCAACCCTGTTTGTTCTCTATCATTAAGAGTCTCTTATGATTTGCTTCCTGCTCTCCTTTTTTTCTTTTCCCCATTCGCATATGTTCATCTGCCTTGTTTCTTAAATTCCTCACATGAGTGAGATCAAACGATATTTTCCTTTCTCTGACTTATTTCGCTTAGCCTAATACACTCTAGTTCCATCCATTGCAGATGGCAAGATTTCATATATATATCTCCAGGTGCCCTATTTTTAACTTCTTGAGGAACCTCCAAACTTGTCTTTGGAGTGGCCATACCAGTTTAAATTCCCACGGACAGGGGATCCCTGGGTGGCTCAGTGGTTTGGCACCTGCCTTTGGCCCATAGTGTGATCCTGGAGTCCCGGGATTGAGTCCCACATCGGGCTCCTGGCATGGAGCCTGCTTCTCCTTCCTCCTGTGTCTCTGCCTCTCTCTCTCTCTCTGTCTATCATAAATAAATAAATAAATAAATAAATAAATAAATAAATAAATAAATCTATCTTAAAAAAAAATTCCCACCAACAGTGCATGAGGGTTCCCCTTTCTCCACATTCTTGCCAACATCTGTTGTTTCTTGTGTTAATTTTAGCCATTCTGGCAGGTGTGAGGTGGTATCTCGTTGTTTTGATTTGTATTTCCTGATGATGAGTGATGTTGAGCATATTTTAATGGGTCTATTAAACATCTGTATGTCTTCTTTGAGAAAATGTCTATTCGTGCCTTTTGCCCATTTCTTAACTGTATTATTTGTTTTTTGGATTTT